AATCTTGTGGTAATATATGGCAAATTTTTCTAAACATTTTCAAAAAGAAACATAAAACAAGTGAAAAATGTGCAACATTTTAAAATTTTTTTTACTTAACAATCAAACGTTCTCTGAAGCTAAAAACACATATCATTTTATAGCTAAGGTGTTTATCTGTAGAATGGCATATCTCTCAGCTCTATTGAACATTTCTATGAAAAGCTGTGCTTTTTTCAAAATATGGTACTTTTCGCTACTATTAAAATAAAATGCGTATAACTCTTGAAGGATTGAACGAGAGTACGAATGATTTTTAGATTCGTAATCAGCATTCTTAAATTAGCAAAGTGGGGTACATTGTTTTGAAATCCCAGGGAAACACCTTGGGACCTTCCCTCGTGAGTTTTTCCAACGCAACAGAAATGCACAAAATAAGAGACTTTTGCACCAGTCTACATATTAAGCCAGAGATCAATACTTTTCTATATGAATGACTATGCTGCAAACAAAGAATCCGCTTTGTTTTCTTCACTTTAGATATGACATCATTCGCAAGTGCATTTTCAACCGATCAAAAAATCACAAATGGAAACTCCATTGAATCATCGGATAATATGGATAATAATAATTTTCTAAATGCAACAGTTCCTAATACTTCTACAACATCACTTGGCACATTCTCTAGTATAGATTTAGATCAACCAAAACATAGTTATATAAGTTTAAGTGATGCATCAGTATTTAATAATTCTCGACAACAACCACCTCAATCTCAACATTCACCATTGAGCACACGTCATACAAACGATTTGGCTACCAGTAAGTCAAATCACGCTATACTCTTCCAACTGACATTTTTAACTTTTTAATTATTAAGGCGCTAGTTTCTCAACCTCAACGTCAACGATTGTTGATCGCAGAATCTCAACACCAGATGCTACAAAATTATTATCACGTATTGATTCAGTTAAACGATGGGGATTGAGCACGTATAAATGTACGAAACAATCGATGCTAGAAAAATTTGGTAAATCAACAAGAACGGTTGATTCAGAACTTGAAACACAAATTGAAGTAAGTTGAAGTCAATAATAGTAATCTTTGGTTTGCTTATCTATTCTACTTTAGCAATTAAAAGAAACAAAACGACGTTATGAAAACATGTTGATATTAGCAAGAGCATGGCAAAATCATTTTGCACAATTAATGCACACACAAAGGGCGTTAGGTGAGTGGTGAAAAAAAATAAACGGCAACAAACTTTGATATTTTTTTGTTCTAGGCGATACATTTAGTGAGCTTCAACAGCGATCGATCGATTTGTGCGATGAATTTAGTTACAACGCTGAAACTCAGCGTTTAATCGCTAAAAATGGTGATTCTTTGTTATCAGCTATTAGTTATTTTATTTCAACGTTGAACACTTTATGCACAAAAACAATGGAAGATACGATGAATACAATTCGACTCTATGAATCTACAAGGTAAAATTGATGACTTTTTATACCACTCATTTTTGTCTAACTCGACTACCAATCGAATCTCAAATGCATGATTTGTATTTCTGTTTATTTAGAATTGAATATGACGCCTATCGAAACGATTATGACCTATTGCAAAAGGATCACAGAACTGATTCGACTGTAAATGACTTGTCTGAAATACAGCGTGATTATCAGCTTCAGAAGGAACGATATGAAAAGCTGAAATCAGATGTTGGTGTCAAACTCAAGTTTTTGGAAGAAAATCGGGTATGTTACACGATGCGTTTTGTAATTACATATAAAAAAAACTTCTCGACCAAAGACCATTTCTACGCTACACGAGTTGCAAGACGGACTGTCTAATGTTTGATTGAATGATACTAACCTTGCATTCAACCAAATATTAGCCAGCTCCTCTAAGTCATGTAGTGTAGACATGCTCAAACTCACCACTTTCTGTCTCTTCAAATAAGTGATGCATCGGCATTTATTTTGTCTGTTCACTCCTGTTGCTATCCTTCCATCTCGGCAGTTGGTTATCATGCTATAGCGTGATTCTACGATATTCACTAATGTCCACCTGTAAAGATATTCGAAAATAAAGGGTTATACGGCTTGTCCAGCTAACTCGAGATTTCATTGATTAAGTTTTTTTTTGAAAAAATTATTGTAGAGTAGAACTGAAAGGAGTATATCACTAGATGCAGTTTTTGGCGCTGATTACGAATCTCACGTTAGTTTTTGAAAAAAGTTAAATTTTTGCATCAAAAATTCAGTTTTACATTTTTTGAAAACTGTATTTTCAATTTCCTCACCTAGACACTTTTCATAATAAAAATAGTAGGCCACACTAATCGATAGAGAATTCGATTCTCTACAAGATGGTATGTTTCTTTTGAAGTTTAGGCTCAACACAAGCTTTTTAATAAAGTTTTAAGTTTTAAGATTCCCACACAATTCTAAGAAAACATTTTTTCAGCTTCATTTTCACCTTAGTCTATATTAGATGCCTAAAACTAAGTCTGATGTGAAAATGAAATCCTTTGTGCAATGTTTAGTGCTCCAAACTTTGTAGGTAAAAAAAGGGTGTCACAGTGTCACGACGATAAAACACAATTATTGAGGGATGGAAAGATTCTTTTTTGACAATCAATAGCTCGTTTGCTCCTCTATAAACTTTGCTCGAGGCGCTTTTTATTAGTTCTTCTAAATTTGCGGCAAATTAGCTGTTAATGAGAAG